GAGACCATTGTGTTGAGTGATGAAGACGTAGAGTCAAGAGATGGTGTCTGTGGTTATGACTCGGACTCCGACACAGACTTCGATGAAGATTCATACGAACCCTATGTCTTCCCACTCGAATCGCTAGCATTGTTTGGTTTGGGTTTCATCACCGGTTTTATCATCTTTAAGATCATTACAACTCCTTAGCTCTCAAACCAATGCTTTCTCTTTGAGACCATTTCCACAAAATTTTATTTGTATTCAATATTTCCATAGTTTATTAATAAGTTTTAAAAATAATTAATGTAAATTATAACTTATTTCATTTCAAAGACATTCAAATATTAAAAATTAAAATTTACTAAAAATAAAGAGCTTTAAACTTATTTTAATTCATTACTTAATGAGTGAATACTTTAATACAAAATCAAAATTGGTTTTCAGATAAGAAAAATTTCTTCTGTTAGAAAAGTAACGTCATGTGTTATGTAACTAAAGAAAACTCTTTCAGGACTGGCTATTCCTTTATCAAACTTACTTTCGACAGGTCCACTACAAGACTCATATCCATATGGCATCCATTGATTGAGACAGTGATGGCATGTATTTTGCCGATTGTCTCCTGTTGTCCGACGCCTACAATACTACTCTTGTGTCTGTCATCCATGAGGTGAATAATTTGACACTTTTGACGGTTTAGAGATGATTATCATCACTAAACCCGCGGACATAGGTGGTTTGGTAGTTAAAATTACAATAAATGATACGTAAGTTATTTTTCGTCTAGACAAAGCTCTTTAAGTAAACAAAACAACCATTGGACTTTAATGAAATGAATGCGATATCTTTGCAGACAAATAATAAAGTCATGTAAACTGTTCACTCTATTCAATGGGTTATAAGTGGATAACTTGTTTATAAAGTCCTTGATCTGATTGATGTCATTTGTCTCAATAGCAGACATAATGTCCGGTCTTTGAGTGCATAGAAAATGTTTGACTTCGATGAATGTGGTCGACAGCACTTCATTCAAATGTATTATACTGTTTAATGTCAACCAATCATCTGATTCATTGGATGACATTATCCGCTGACTTTTTTCAGGAAACCGTTTGTTTGCAATTAATTTAAATTTTTTATTTAAATTTTTGAATCCCAAATTGGGATTCACAATAATAAATTTTACTAATTCAGAGTATTTGATTAATTGATGTAATTTTAATAAATATTTTCTGTAGTTTTAATTTAGAGTATAAACTGCCAAATCTCTACTAATAGTAGTGATTTGGGCGCCTGTATCCACCAAACCATCAATTTTAATGTTATTTACTATGCATTCAATAAAAAGCAGATCTGTTTCGAGAAATTCATTTGTTTTGTTGGTCTGGACTTTAATGAAATGAATGCGATATCTTTGCAGACAAATAATAAAGTCATGTAAAGTGTTCACTCTATTCAATGGGTTATAAGTGGATAACTTGTTTATAAAGTCCTTGAGCTGATTGATGTCATTTGTCTCAATAGCAGACATAATGTCCGGTCTTTGAGTGCATAGAAAATGTTTGACTTCGAGGAATGCATTTCATTCAAATGTATTATACTGTTTAATGTCAACCAATCATCTGATTCATTGGATGACATTATCCGCTGACTTTTTTCAGGAAACCGTTTGTTTGCAATTAATTAAAATTTTTTATTTAAATTTTTGAATCCCAAATTGGGATTCACAATAATAAATTTTACTAATTCAGAGTATTTGATTAATTGATGTAATTTTAATAAATATTTTCTGTAGTTTTAATTTAGAGTATAAAATTTATAGTATAAATATATATTTCAATTGCTATGCATTTTACAAACATAATATTTTAAATCTAAAGTTAAATACTTATTTTTCGAAAATAAAACAGGCCTTATAATTTAAATATTAATTTTTGAATCAAAAACTAATCTCAAATTAAGTATAAGGTCTGAGTTGAATGAAATTGTTGAAAAATTATTTTGAAATTATCTAAATATTATTGGCTGATATGTTGTACTGTATACTATTAATGCTATTAGTTTTGATTCCGCTTACCCTTTAATATCATTAAATTCTCGTTTCAAAATTACAACCAATTAGTTATAATCAGAGAATTACATGGATTTACATAATACAAGAGCAGGTATTCAATTAGACCCCTATCTGCTCACAAAATGATTATAGGCTTTCAAAAGTGGATTTCATATTTATTTATGACTTTTTAATTCTAATAAAAACCATTCGTTTTAGTACTCATTGATATAATGACAAAAATGACAAATTTCTATAACTAATGATATATTAAATAAGTTAAACCCCGACCTATGGGACCCCCGATGTGTTTCCTGTGCTGTGGAAAGAGGGCCAACAGTTTTGTTGGCAATCGATGCCAAATATCGTGAGTCTGTTTTCATTTCATTTAATAGATTCATCAAAATATTTGAGATTTTCATTAGATTAATGTTTTATAAATATGTGGCAATTGATTCATTATATTCTGTGAGAAATATATAATACTGTTATTAATATCGGAGAGAATATAATCCAATGTATGAGTAATTCTCAATTGATTTCCAGCTAATTATCTCTAAATTACAGACCAAATGATGATTCAGATCTATAATTATGCGATCAAATTGCTATTATTATAAAATCATTTCGATCTGAATCGAGATATTCTTGTTTTTAGATTTCTTAAGACATTAGTCGATATAAAGGTCACAAAATGCAAAACCTTATCATTCTTTATATGCTTTTCTCACAAAATCTGAATAATTATAAGAATTGCCTCTAATTTAAGCTCAAACTCAATTAAATTGAATAAGATTTTAATTATTTAAGTTGTAATAAAACCATTGGTTAAAGTGTTGTATTGTGTTATTTGGAGAATTTTACTAAATTTATTCATTTATTCTGTTATTTTTTATTTAATAAAATTTTCAACATACTATTATTAATACAGTATTGATAATAAATTGATAATAAAATATATTCTAAAAATTCAGGTATAATTAAAAATGATTGTAAAACACATTTAGTAAAGATACTATAAATTTATTATAAAAGCAAAACACATTAAGTTATGAAAAATTAATATTAATGAATAATTAACTATACTGTTGGCAATTATCTAGAATTTATATGAAGTTAGTTGTTATAAGTATTTAATCAAATTTAATAACCGCTAATTATATTTCGCATATAAATTTATATATATATTTATTAATGAATAATTCATGACTTGGATTCCAAAATTTATTAATTTTTTTATCAAACATTTTATAAATTCATCCCTTTTTCAAAAGAAAATAAAAATTCAAATTAATTGAAGTAATTAATTAGAGCTAAAGATTAAATCTAAATAACTTTATTTTGACGTTAATTTCAATTTAATGAATTTGAAATATTTGAGTCTTGTTTTACATAAAACTCTTATTCAATTTCCAGACAACTTCTCAATAGATTATATTTAATGAGTTAATGAGTTGTAAAATTAATTAACAAATGCATTGCAAGTAATTGTAAGACAGAATTCACTCATTTATCATTTTATTGCTTTATTTCGCGAAATAACACATAGCATACCAAACCTATAGTATTTCATTGATTCTTTAACCCATTAAAATCCGATAAAATGTGATTTGAGGTCAACTTATTTGTGATATTTATTCTTATATTTAGGATAAGATATGAAAATAGCTTTTATTCTAATAAATTAAAATACTATTAAATCAATAATACCTTATTTTTATAGCCTATTTGTCCAAATGGTTGAATATCGCATTAGTTGAGGTCAGCATCTCAATAGAAAGTGATATTACGTCCATTTGGCTGCAGAGGTCAGACCATAGCTCTACATCAATATACAGTTACATATTTTCACAGATATGACAATCAAAATCGATAGAAAACTTTTTGTATTTCTCGTATATCTTTATATTCTTCAACAAACTTTAAGTAAAAGTACCAAACAATGTATGTCTTTAAGTTTGATTGAAAATCACATTTTAATTCATGTTTAAATATATTAAAGTGAATAAAAGTTATTCGTGCGGCCGTTCAGAGGTCAGGAGCCCGCGTATAGTCGGCGGAGAGAATGCATATAATGGAGAGTTTCCATGGATGGTATGTTATATCATATTTACTGCTATTTATTATCAATGTATAAAAATGACATATTTTGAAAATTATACTTAAATATTATTTACTGCTGCTTTGAGTGGTTCACTTAATTGCGTTTATGCTTGTTTTGTATAATTTGAATGAAGAATATAGAGATTTCTATATAATCTTTTATATCGAGCGCTTCAATTCATGCAAGAATTTTTCAAATTAAATGTTAAGAAAAATTAATAAAAATCTTTTTTAGAAGATTTAAGTTAAAATAAAATGCAAATAAATTAATATTTTGTTCACAAAATAGAAAACTTTTGATTTAAAAACAGGATATATTTAAATATGTGTAAAAGAGTTGGGTCATTGATAAAGCCATTAATGTTCAGATTAAGGGCAATAACTCTACAATAAAAGCACTGTATTTAAACTTATTTATCCAACAAATTCTCTGTTCATAAAATAAAATGTTCATTAAATCTCAAACAAGACCTGCTGTGACTCCGAAATCAAAGTTTTTTCGTTTAGTAATCTCTCTTTAGTTAATTTTTTGGCATTTCTTTGCTCTTAAAATGAACACAAACTCTTAGTATTAATATTTGGATACTCTGTTCAAAACAAATCATAAGATTTTGTGCAGTTTTTATCGACTAAAAAAAGTTGAGCAAATGTTTTTCAAACGCACGGCAGTGAATTGTATCAATGATTTGAATTTTAATTATATAAAGTCTAGTATTGAACCAAAAATGAAATGGTTTTTGTGACTAAATTGTATCGCAAATTACATTTTTGTTTGTTTTTAATATAAAGCTTTTTAAAACCCGTTTCGTTGATAATATTAATAGAAATAAAATTTATTAACATTTTAAAGGTTTCTATTTTAATGAATGAAATCAACTCTGTGTCCCATTACTGTGGAGGGATACTTATATCAAATCAATGGGTCTTATCTGCGGCTCATTGTCTCGAAGACTACATTCCCGACAACTTTATCGTCCGATTGGGCGCTCATTCAATACAGACTGACTTTGAGGAGAATGCCATCGATATACCGGTCGAGGCAATCATTATACACAACAACTACTCCTTTCCCCGACCCTATGATAATGATATCGCACTCTTAAAGTCAGTCAAACAAATTGTTTACGATTTACAAAATTTGTTGAAATGTTAATATCATTTTAAAAATTAGGTTAAAAAGGAGAGTCGAGTTCACAGATTATATAATACCTATTTGTCTGCCAAAAGCTGACGATCCAAACAAACATGACATACAAACGGCGCTTATGAATAGATATGATTTCATGTCTACGGATGGCATCCGAGTTATGGGAACTGTTGTCGGCTGGGGATGGCTTAAAGACAGCGATAACAATCAGGGTATTAAACATTTGCTTCAAATTATTTGATGAAATATTAGTTTTTGAAAACAAATAATAAATTATTGGAAACAAAACAAAGAATAATAGAAAGCAATATATTTAGAGGAGAACCTGGGCGATATCCTACAGAAGGTAAAGGTGCCCATTATATCCAACAAAGAGTGTCAAGAGTGGTATAGATCTCGAGGCAGATCTCTGACTGTAAGCCCAACACAGTTTTGCGCCGGATTTCTGGAAGGGGGCAGAGATTCCTGTCGTGTGAGTCCTTTCATTGTCACCAATGAGACCAATAAAACAATTATTATTTAAAACTGAACAGGGCGATTCCGGCGGTCCCCTCGTTGTGAGAGACGCAAAAGTTTATCATCTCATTGGGATCGTTAGCGCAGGCATAGGTATAATATCTACTTTGGAAATATCTATTTTGTCTTCAAATTTGCTAATTTATGTCGTTTTGTTCAACGTTTTGTACCAAATAGGGTGTGCTTTGCCTAAACTGCCCGGTCTTTACACTCGAGTCGACGCTTATATAAATTGGATGAATAGATATGTGGATCCGATATAAAACTACTGGATTTCAGTGGCAACTAAATGCACATCAAACCTCAACTTTTTAATGTTAGACTCAAATGACTGTCGATTGAGATTAATATTAAAAATATAGTCATTTCATAAACACAAGTCTCAAAGCATATCATAAAAAGATGTGAAACAAATCAAAAGCCAGTTTTGAAGCGTAATAATTGGTTATCATTTCTGGTATACATTATTATCTGAAATTGTTATTTGATTTATACTCACTTATAATTATTTTCGATTTACGAGATATTCACCGACTATTAAGGAATTTATTTGACATATCCTTTGAATTCCCTTTTCTTCTTACAAGCCCTCAAAAAATCCTAACTATAAGTACTTTGAAACTCGAAAATACTTTGATTGAGTCCTTAGCAAATTTAAAGCAAACAAATTATTTTAAACACCATTTTATCAAAACATTTATAAAATAATAAATAAAAATTATAAAGTATCATTTGAAAACTTTAGAAACTATATTTAATACATTTGTTAAGATAACGCATTCGTATTTGTTTGATTTTTCTAATAACTTTTTATGTTACTTCAATTAAATTAAACAAAATTAGAGTTTTTATAATAAAATAAATCCAAAAAATTGTATGTAATTTTTTTAATAAAAAATATATCGCTTAATTGAAAGCAAATTTTGAAATCTATTTATAGTGTTTGTAAAAATATTCATATTCAACGTAAGATATAATTATTAAATGCATAAATTTCAATATATTTAACTAAGTGTTCACATAATGTGAATAAAGTGGTGGACAGAAAACAAGTTGAATTTGGTTGCATAGACTCAGAATATCAGAGTTGTGGAAACAGTTGTGAAAACAAGTTTTACTTTTAATTTAAATCTATAAATTGGTGCGAAAAATGTCTCGTCTCAGCGCCAATCTATCACTAAATGGGTGTTTCATTGTTGCCAAACATATTGTAATTTGTGGTCTTTGTCTTCAAATTGGATTGTTTTTAAAGCAGTAGCTCTTCATTATTGATAGCCCGCAGCCATTTCGCACTTCAAGCGTGAATTGAGTCCACGAGCAGGTGATGGTCTGGTCAGCCAGTGATTGATACCTTCGCCAAAATATAGACTATAGTATAGCAAAGCAGTGACCACTCATTGTAAACAATACATCAATATACAGTTACATATTTTCACAGATATGACAATCAAAATCGATAGAAAACTTTTTGTATTTCTCGTATATCTTTATATTCTTCAACAAACTTTAAGTAAAAGTACCAAACAATGTATGTTATTTAAGTTTTATTGAAAATCACATTTTAATTCATGTTTGAAATATATTAAAGTGAATAAAAGCTATTCGTGCGGCCGTTCAGAGGTCAGGAGCCCGCGTATAGTCGGCGGAGAGAATGCATATAATGGAGAGTTTCCATGGATGGTATGTTATATCATATTTTACTGCTATTTATTATCAATGTATAAAAATGACATATTTTGAAAATTATACTTAAATATTATTTACTGCTGCTTTGAGTGGTTTACTTAATTGCTTTTATGCTTGTTTTGTATAATTTGAATGAAGAATATAGAGATTTCTATATAATCTGTTATATCGAGCGCTTCAATTCATGCAAGAATTTTTCAAATTAAATGTTAAGAAAAATTAATAAAAAATCTTTTTTAGAAGATTTAAGTTAAAATAAAATGCAAATAAATTAATATTTTGTTCACAAAATAGAAAACTCTTGATTTAAAAACAGGATATATTTAAATATGTGTAAAAGAGTTGGGTCATTGATAAAGCCATTAATGTTCAGATTAAGGGCAATAACTCTACAATAAAAGCACTGTATTTAAACTTATTTATCCAAC